TTTCTAAGAAATAATTTTTTTTTGGTATAACAATTAAAGACTATTTAGTTTTTGAATTGTACTTTGATAAATTATTTAAAGTTTTTTAAACAATAATGTTATTTTAATTGAAAAACTTCAATGTATCGATTGAAGATAATATAGCTCTTAAGCCAAGAAAATCTAAATCAAGACAAGAAATTCTTAAAGCAAAATAATCATTTGTCTTCCAAAATAAATTCTTAGATCAAGAAAATATCTCTTGAGTCAACATAAATTTTCTATCAGTGCAGGAAAATAAATGAATAAATAAATAAATATCATAAGCGTTCTTCAAGCTCAAAAATCTAATAATTGTTTTAGAAAAAGATTTTTTTTTCATTCTTAAACTGCAGTATCATTTGAATCGATTCGTTCAAGAATTAAATTTATATAAAAAAAAATTAAAAAATAATTTTTAATTCATGAAAATCGAGCAGAAATCAACTCATTCAAGGTTATTATCCAAAAAATATGTGTAGCAAGTTTCATCTAAATCCGTTAAAAATTTTAGTCGTTATTGTGTCCACAAGCCGCGTTATATATCACGTATATATACATAAATATATAAACTTTTGAACCAATGCTAATTTTGAGCCTTACTCGACTAAATAAGATATAAAATGACAAAATTCCGTGTGAATTTCGACAATGCAATAGATAGATTTCTGCAATTTTTTAATATTTTTTTTTTTCAGATTTCTTTAAGACTATTTTAAGATTTTTCAAGACTATTTAAAAATTATTTTAAAACTCAAATCTTAAAATAGTCTTAAAAAAATCAAAATAATTATTAAAAAATCTCGGAATTTTTTTTTTTGGCATCTTAAAAGAATCTTAAAATAGTCTTAGTTTGTGTCACGTTTAAGATCTTAAACGAACGACAATTTTAAGACAATTTTAAGACGATTTTTTTTATACGGACAGTGTCAAAAGCTTTTTCTAGATCTATAAAACAGGACCCAACGCATTGACCAGCATTCAGTTCTCTACATATGTCTGAGGTGAATTTGTTTATTGCGTGTATTGTTGAGTGTTTATGGCGAAAGCCGAACTGATGGTCGGGTAAAATTTCATTTACCTTACAGATTTTTAGTATAGCTTTATTTATTACTACCTTAAATATTTTACTTATGTTTGGAAGGAGACTTATGGGTCTGTAACTAGAGAGATTAGAGCTGTCCATATCTTTTTTTTAAAGCAACTACCTTGGCTATTTTCCATTGAGATGGAAAGTAGGAAATATTGAGTGCATTGTTAAATAGGATTGTAAAAAGATATATAATATTAGAGGGAAGGTTTTTTAAAATAAAGTTAGGTATGCCGTCAAAGCTGGAGGATTTTTTGTTGTTTAATTTTCTAAATATTTTTTGGAGTTTCGGGAAGGAAGTAAAATAGTCGGGAAAAGGGTTGTTTGAGGGGTATGTGGAAGGAACATTTTTTGAAAACTGTAACAGAGAAGAGTTCGTTTGTTCTTCGAGGTTTATTTTGTTTTTAAGTTCGTCAATTTTTCTGTTTATTAAGCGTATATGAGCTTCTTTGCCCATGTTAATGTTTTGGTTGTTTGTCGCCTCAAAGTGAGCCCCAATTAAATTTAATTTGTCACAGGGTTGTGTAATGGTACTTGCATTATTGTTATCTTTATTGAAAGTGGTTATGTCTAGATCTGCTGCATTTAGTAAATGGTGTTTGTCAATAGGAATTTTTAGATTGTCAATGGAGGAGATGCCTTTTTTCCTGAATAACTTATTGATTTGAGGAAGTGATTTTACTGGGTCATTAGGAGGTATGCTTCTTATTTTTTTTTCCCAATATGCGTTAGATGCCTTATTAAATTCATTGGATATTTTGGTTTTTAATTCTTTTAAGATGTTTTTGTAATATATCAGTAGGGAATTATTAGATTTGATTCCGAGTTTTTGTAGTTTGTAAATGTGTGATGATATGTAATTTTTATGCTTTTGTAATTTTTTTATGTTATTATTTACGAATTTGTCGGTTGTATTTTTTGGGATAATTATAGGGGTTGCTATGTTAATTGCTTTAGTGATCGCAGCGTTTAAGTTTGTCAATCCTGTATCTATTTCGTCTTTTGAAAGGTTTCTGTCTGTAGGTAGTTCAGAGATTTTGTAAGAGTTGAGTGATTTTTCAAATCGGGTCCAGTTAGTTTTAGCAAAGTTAAGACCGTAACGGGGTTCTTCAGTTTCCAAATTCGTCAATCTGTCAATTGTAATGTCAAATTTAATTGCATTATGATCACTGTCAAATGGGATACTGACCACTATACTATCAAAGAATACATTTTTTGTGACTGCTAAGTTACTAAATAAAATAAGGAAAGCATGCCATAATCGATATGCCATGTTACTAAAACGTCAACGTTAAAAATCTGAAAATCAGTTAACTCGGCAGACGATCCCTGAAATTTCTTCACTTCTTACCATGAATTTTAAAATATATATCAAAATATAAAAATCCCAACAAGTACAGTTTTACTATACTACCGACTGCCTTCGTAGCGAGCGGGCGCGTCTAGAAATCGGGTCCTGGAATTTAAAACATTATCGAGTTATTACGACAATGAAGACGTAAAAAAGTAGTGAAAACACTCGTGTAGTTTTAGTAAAAGTGTAAACTTAAAAACGCGAGCGAGTGGAAGTAGTTATTGTGTGTAAATTATAGAGGAACATTGAACTTTGGGGTTAGATTTAGCATGTCGCGTTGGAGCGAAAGAGACTTGGAGGTGTTGGGGGAGTTCCTTGATGGCCTAGAGAGAAGAAAAATATCTGCGGCACACCTTAATACGCTAGGAGACAGATTCCCAGGAAGATCTACAGCAGCAATAAAGAAAAAGCTGCTGGAGATAAGAAAGCACGTAAAGGCAGACCCACCCGGCCAGGCACGACACAGCGGTCAGTTGGATAATAATGACCATCCTGGAGGCAACGAGAGCCCCTGAGGATATAAAGCTCAGGGCTTTCAAATCACGAGCCTCGTTTGTCGCAGAGTACCTGTGGGAGAAGCGTAAAGGTGAGATCTGCGCGGGTCCAAAAGTCGCGGTAGACTCCAACCTGCACCACAACCGCCCGGACATGGTGATCACACTTTTGAACCCAGCTGACATTTTCTTGCTGGAGGTCACAGTATCTCACCTGCAGAACATCCGGCTCCAGGAGCGCATCAAGCGAGCCCAATACGAGGTCAACTCAACTGTGAAAATCTCCGAGACCAACCTGGAGGAGGCCCCGCGAGGGGAAAACCTCATAGATGCGCTCCAGAGAAAGCACAGGTGTCCAGCCAAGTTGGGCGTCCTGGTGTTTGGGGCACAAGGTGAGGTACTGGACACTGCGGAGCACAAAAATAGCACGAAGATCTTCAAAAAGCTGGGAGTGACAGAGAGGAAAATTGACATCATGCTCTCGAACATCGCCTTATCCGTGGCAAAAGCCAGCGCCCGGATCGTGCTGCAAAGGGTGAGGATGTAACATCAGGGAGGATGGACCCAGGAGGACCATTCAACAGCGAGGATGCCAACCAGCCGAGCCACTGAGGAATTTACCCCCCCCCCTCCCAATCCCCTTAGTAGAATTTTGAATTTTGCTTTTAAATGAAATCTTCTTTTCTTTCCTCTTTCTTTAGCGTAGAATACTAATTGATACTTAGAGTTTAAATCCCCCTATAATCCCCCCACAAATAATCATAAAACAAACATTTTGTAACCATACAGGTCTATAATGAGACTATTAGTCCACTGAATTTACTCTTATGCGTTGTTCGAACTAATTTTCGACTGAGATGTTTTTTTACAGAAAAATCGAGAATTTTTCATAGAATTTAATAAAAAAAACGCGAAATCTCAATTCGATACGGAAGTTAATTAAAAAAATTAATAAAAAATTGAAAAATCGCGGAACGCTATATTTTTCACTTTTTTAATATATTTAATATCTTTTTTTCACAAAAAAAATAGTATCACTAGAAAGAGTGGAAATTTTTCAACAAAAAACATAACAAACATCTTCTCCACGGATTAAATAAACACCGAAAAAAAAAATAATTAAAAAAAAAATTAAATTTACTTATTATTTTTAGTCAGCTGTCCGGTAGGTAAGTGTAGAGTCGTAAACAAGCTGCACGCGCATGATCAGTCACAGTGGTAATCATCAACTGTAATTTAAAATGAAACGATAAAATATTTTATTTTAAATTACAGTGGATGATTACCACTGTGACTGCACTTAATACCTACCGGACAGCTGACAAAAATAATAAGAAATTAATTTTTTTTTTAATTATTTTTTTTCGGTGATAATTTTATCCGCGGAGAAGATGTTTGTGACGTTTTTGGTTGAAAAATTTCCGCTCTTTCCAGTGATAGTAATTTTTTTGTGAAAAAAAAATTTTAAATATATTAAAAAGGGGAAAAATAAAGCGTT